ACTGCAGAAGGGAAACATGGAGAGAGAGAGGCTCAGAGGCTAAATGGGGTCTCCAGAGTGCCTCCAGCATGGCCTGAAACGGGGTTATGCCTCTCCCAATTCATACGTGCTGCCAGGCACATCTGTGCGAGCCGTACTGGGAAAAGAGTGAGGTGTGCAACTGCATGCGGGCATATGGGTATGCCGCTTCCTCAGGCTTTGCAAAGTGCGAGTGGGAGGGAGAGACTCCAGCCTGGGCTCCTCCTGTCTATCTAGCTATCTCTTCATCACCATAGCTGTCTGCCTGCCTTTCCCTCTATCTCTTCATTCCTAATCCACCCACCCTCCTGGGATCTATCTCCTCACCCCGAGACACTACCTAAAGCATATCCTTGCTTCCCCCTGTGCAAGGTTTTGAGTAGCTGAAGGGGCTGCTATTTAAAGGCTGGACCCCGCAGTTGCCAGTGCCATGTTATATTCTTCAGTCTGAGTGCAGAATCACATTTCTTTTAATCAAGGGGAAGCTGGACTTTTATTTCAGACAAAGTGACTGCAGAGCTACTTAAACCTGCCAGAGGGTGGTGAGAGCTCCCAGTACAGAGCAGATACCTGCCCCACAAACATGTCTCAGCCATGACCCACAGGACTGTGGGTGAGGCTCAGGCAGTCACTCCTGGGCCTCTGGGCTGATGTAGCCAACAGCATGGGGAAATGTCCCAGAGCCATTGCCCATCAGGCACCAGCAGCTGGGTTTTTCTCCCTTCAGCTGGACTCTAAATGGTGGCCTAGATGTGAGAACGTGCCAGAGTCCCGTGCTGGCTCCAGGAACACCCCGCCCCCCTTCACCCCGAACTTAGAAACTATTAACTGAGCCCCACTTACTTGTCACTGCACCTGCTTTCCCTGTCATCCCCAGAGTGACTGGGCTGCTGCTTCTGCCCATATTAGAATACAAACATCTGTCCCCTTCTCTCTTAGTATTTCAAATCATCTTAGAGGCAACAGTGGGTCGAACCTTGTCACGCCCCATGATATTGTGCAGATCAATATTATCCACATTTGACAGGAAATGAGACTGAGGCACAGAGAGAGGAGGCCACAGTTTCACAGTGTTAGGAACCAGCTGTCTGGCCTGTTTTTCAGACACAAGGGGGGGGGGGGGGAAGAGATTTGCTTCTGTAGGTGCCACAACAGTCTCCCTCTAAGTAGACTTGAGCCCTAAGGGATGTTATAGTTTCATAGAAAGTGCTGTTAAATTTCTGATGCAATGTCACTGATTTGACATTTCTTAGCCAAGAGAAGTTTTCTTATGGCCACGGGCCCCAGCCTGCTCTGAACTGCAGCTGCTCAAGGAAGCGCGACTCAGCAGCTACCGTAACAACCTATTCAGCACTACAGGCAAAGTGACAGCGGCCGCAATGTGCAAGCACAGCCATGGGGGGAGCACAGAGAGGCAACATGAAATTACTAGGCCAGACAGTGGAGCTAGCACTCAGACTCCTGCAAGAGAGTGTCCAGGGATATCTGAAGATCACAAGTGGTCAGGACCTTGGCTTTACATCTCATCTGAACAGCATCATCAAGCTGGGGCACTGACAGAAGACATGTGCTACTGAATCCCTTGGGCTCTATCTACGTTAGATGGCATTTGCTGGTGTAGCCAGTCAGCTAATTTTTTACTGGCACACCTTCCTGCAGGAGGTACAGCTTATACTGGCAAGAGAGTGTGTTAGCTGGCATTGGTCTTATCAGTTCTCCAAACTGAATCTGCTGGACACTGTTACTAGTACAACAATATCTAGGCTAGGCCCATTGCTGGCATAGCTGTGTCTTAGGGAGACATTTTTCCCTGTCCTAACAAAAAAACAATGCTAACAACTTTTTTACATATAAACCAGGCCTAATTCTTCCCTCAAAACTAGGGTTCACTTTGGACTACTGACCTGGCCATACATTTCTTAGTTTATGAGAGTGGAAAAAGGGGCTCTGACTGCAGTTATCCATGGCTGCCTTTGCTCCACAGCTGTTTTCCTTCCATGTCTCCTCACCCATCATCATAATTTCCAATCCCTTCTTCCCCCAGCAACCCTGGGTTAGGATGGCAGAGAGGGTGAGACCCCTCTCCCCCACCATCACCAGCCTTCTAACTGTTTGATGTTGCAATGTTGTTAACCTACTGAGTATACCCTACTGAGTATACACTCCCTTGTCATAATGGCAGAATCAAAATGATAGGGAGGTATGATGGGTTAACAGTTAAAGGTTTAAGCCAGCATAAAGTGTTGCTTCTGGCCAACACAGCTATGCTAGCAAAAGCCTGACTGGACATGCAGTTAGACAGGGCAAAAGAGGACTTTTTCCAGGTAAATTGTATTTCATTTGAGAAACTGCCATAAACTGCCATCAAAAGAGCTCTATTGTCAGTCTAAGGCATGTCCCAGGAGCAGCTTTGGCTGGTAAGGTGAAATCAGAAAACACTTTCCAGTGTGGAGAAGGTCTAAGAGTGGCACACTGGGGTGGGGGAGGTCTGCACCTGGTCCCCACCATGGTCCAACTCATCTGCCAACTCTTT